GGTGTTGAATGCTGAGCTATAGTCAATGAACAGCATTCTTACATAGGTATTCCTCTTGTCCAGATGGGATAGGGCAGTGTGCAGTGCGATGGCGATTGCATCGTCTGTGGATCTATTGGGGCGGTAAGCAAATTGAAGTGGATCTAGGGTGACAGGTAAGGTAGAGGTGATATGATCCTTGACTAGTCTCTCGAAGCACTTCATGATGACAGAGGTGAGTGCTACGGGGCGATAGTCATTTAGTTCTGTTACCTTTGCTTTCTTGGGTACAGAAACAATTGTGGCCATCTTGAAGCATGTGGGGACAGCAGACTGGGATAGGGAGAGATTGAATATGTCCGTAAACACACCAGCCAGCTGGTCTGCGCATGCTCTGAGGACACGGCTAGGGATGCCATCTGGGCTGGCAGCCTCGCGAGGGTTAACACGCTTAAAAGTCTTACTCACGTCGGCCACGGAGAAGGAGAGCCCACAGTCCTTGGTAGCGAGCCGCGTCGGTGGCACTGTATTATCCTCAAAGCGGACGAAGAAGGTGCTTAACTTGTCTGGCAGCAAGACCAGCGACGTGGCTGGTTTTCCTATTGTAGTCCGTGATTGTCTGTTGGTTGTCAGCTGGTCTGCGCATGCTCTGAGGACGCAAGCTACCCGGAACATATCCCAGTCTGCGTGATCAAAACAATCTTGAAGCGTGGATTCTGATTGGTCAGACCAGCGTTGAATAGTCCTTAGCACAGGTACTTCCTGTTTGAGTTTCTGCCAATAGAAAGGGAGGAGCAAAATGGAATCGTGGTCAGATTTGCCGAAAGGAGGGCGGGGGAGGGCCTTATAACCATCCTGGAAGTTCGAATAGCAATGGTCGAGGATTTTAGCAGCCCGAGTACAACACTCGATATGTTGATAGAACTTCGGCAGCCTGGTCCTCAAATTTGCTTTGTTAAAATCCCCGGCTACAATAAATGCAGCCTCAGGATATGTGGTTTCCAGTTTGCATAAGGTCCAGTGAAGTTCTTTGAGGGCTGTCGTGGTATCGGCTTGAGGGGGGATATACACGGCCGTGACTATAACCAAATAAAATTATCTTGGGAGGTAAAACGGTCGGCATTTGATTGTGAGGTATTCTAGGTCGGGTGAACAGAAGGACTCGAGTTCCTGTATGTTACTACAATTACACCATGAGTCGTTAATCATGAAACACACCTCCGCCCTTGTGCTTCCCGGAGATATATTTATTTCTGTCTGCGTGATGAACTGAGAACCCATCTGGCTGGACCGATTTCAACAAAATATCCCCAGAGAGCCATGTTTCCGTGAAACAAAGTATGTTACAGGCCCTCTGGAAAGAAATCCTTGCCCGGAGCTCGCCGACTTTGTTATCCAAAGACTGAACATTAGCGAGTAATATATTTGGAAGCGGTGGGTGGTGTGCACGCTTCCTAAGTCGAACCAGCAGGCCGCTCCGAGTGCCTCTCCTCCGCCGGAGATGTTTTAGGTCAGCCGCTGGAATCAGTTCAATTGCCCTGGGGAGAACAAACAAAGTATCTGCTTCGGGAAAGTCGTAATCCTGGTCGTAATGCTGGTGAGTTACCACCGCTCTGATATCCAATTGTTTTCGGCTGTATGTAATGATACAAAACACTTTCTGAGCTAATAAAGTTTAAAAAATAATACATTAAAAAAAACAAAATACCGCAAAGTTTCCTAAGAGCTAGTCACGACGCCGCCATCTTCGTCGGCGCCAGGATATGTGGTTTGTAGACATATGGAGATTTCACAACCAAAAGGTTAATGAATACACATTTTACTGCCCTGTCCATGACAGTTACTCTAGAATCTACTTGTTTCTTATTCCTGCAGGTAAGGGACGTTTAACTACTGGGTGTAAGTATTTACCAAGATGTATATGAGATCATTCTGCCCTGCTGGCTTCATTACCAGTCAGTAAAACACAACCACCCTCAAGAAGGTGGAGGTTTGGCACATATTTACTAAATAATCCCACATTTGTAAAATTTCTGAACACTCATATCAACATATTTATTAGCACCAATAACAACTCTGCCTCCCCCCTAATTTTATGGGAAGCTCTCCAAGCATATCTGAGGGGGCAAATCAATTCATCTAGTCTTTAGGGAGGAGTATGGAACATTGTACAAGTCTGAAGGGGATGCCCCTGACACAACGCAGGAGTTTTTGAACAAACTCAATTTACCAGCTTTAACTGATGAGCATAGAGAGGACTTGGAGAAAGAGATTACAGCCGAGGAAATTAGGGAATCCATTTTCAACACTGCTGGGGGAAAATCACCAGGGTTAGACGGATTCCCTATTGAATTCTATAGATCCTTTTTACCCAAACTAATTGAGCCTCTTTGCAATATGTTTAATTATGACATAGAGACAGAAACGCTCCCAGACGCACTGGAACAAACACTGATCACAGTTTTGTTAAAACCTGGGAAAGATCCTCTGCTTGGTGGGTCGTATAGACCAATATCTTTAT